AATAAAAGAAGCTCAGCACGGTGGGTTTGGATTGAGTGAAATGTTTTCAGAAACATGTAAAATATCACCTGCCTTAACCTTTTTATAGGATTACAGCACCTCACTCTTAAAACTGAACTGTTCAATCACGTGTTGTTATTTCCAGACCAACAGTAAAGCCTTCACTGCCAAGACGTCCTGTGTGCGTCGGCGCTACAGCGAGTTTGTGTGGCTCAAGAAGAAGATGCAGAAGAACGCTGGGTTGGTGTAAGTTCAATCTGCTGCTCTCCAGCTGCACTGATCGGGAGTCATGACACCTCACATGCTGTAACAACACTATATATAGATGTTAACAAGACTTAGCAGAGTGTAGAACAAAGTGCAGAACTTCCTCTGAGTCATTGCGGTAAATTAAGATTCCACTGGCTGCACATTATCAGGAGTTACCCAACGTCCGCATGACGTGTTTGAGTAAATACCCTGCAACTTTCCAAAATAGAGACTGGAACCTTTTCTTCTCGTGGTTATTCTTCCAGGCCGGTCCCAGATCTTCCAGGGAAATCCTTCTTCTCCTTCAGTAACGAGGACTTTCTGGAGAGGAGGAGGACGGGACTTCAGGCCTTTCTGGACAAGTCAGTTCTTCTGAAAAAGAAGCATCAATAAAATCTCAGTATTCAATCTGCTCAAATCTGTGAAAGTTCCCACGTGTCGTGACTTTGTGTACCTGTGTCCTGACAGAGTGGTGAACATGACCGTGTGCCTGTCGGACAGCCAGCTCCACCTCTTCCTGCAGACCCAGCTGCCCGTCGGTCACATCCAGGACTGCGTTCAGGGCCACACCCCCTACTCCGTGACCGACGCCATCCTCACCTACGCCTCGTCCAACTGGGGCTGGGCTCAGGCTCAGGAGGACGATTCCATCAAGGAGCCAAGTTTGACCGTCTCTTATGAGTCCATGGAGAGGTATGAGGGGGGGCATGAGTGGTTTCCATCCTCTTAAGTCTCAGTTGAAGACATTTCTCCAAAAAAACTGTCAAACCAGTCCTCTGACCAGTTTGTGTCTCTCCGTCTCTCTCTGTACAGTCCGGCTCCTCATCAACCTACAATCAATCTACAAACTGCAGAGACGTTCAGGACCGAGCCTGTCTTCTGTGGAGACTCTGACCCTCTGGCAGGTTTACTGGAGCGCCGTGAAAGAGACGAGACGGAGTTACGGCAGGAATCCTCGATAAAGTTCTGCCAGGAGAGCGACCATCTCGAGGCCGTGGTGGAGCGTGACCGCGAACCAGCAGAGGCAACCTTTTATCTGGGCGACGGACAGGATGAGCAGATGAGCTGCCAGATACAGACACCGGTGGAGGTGCATTCCCCCGTGGGGCCTGGCTTCGAGAGGGACTGTGAGCTTGAGGAGGAGAGTTCAGAAGAAGAGGAAAGTGTGGACGTTTTAGAAGAAAAGACTGTTTCCTTTTCAGAAATGGAGGTAAAGACCGATCAGCTGCACAGCCCTGAGGAGGCAAATCTAGAAAATGTGGCCTGTGAGCCAGAACAATGTATAGATTCTGTAGTAACAGTAGATTTTAAAGACAATGACTCTGAGAGTGAGATCATAGAAAGTAACGGAAGATCTCAGGAGGAAGTTCTAGAAAACCTCTCTGAGGACGACTTTCAGAAATCAGACGAGCAGCAGGAGACAGAAGAAAGTTCTGAATCTGAGAGCGAAGAGGAGACGACGCTTCAGTCAGAAATCCACGTAGAAGCTGAAGAAGCGAAGAGCGTCCCGGAGGTGGACGGTCGTAGCGCCGCTCAACCGCAAATGGACCAAGTTGAAGTGGATTCAGTCGGGACCAAGGATGAGAGCGACGAGGACACGCGCTCGCTGCCGTCCTCCAACGAGAGCATCGTCAAGGTCAGCGACGAGGAAAGCGTTTGCGATGAGACGGACGAGTCCATCGAGGCCGTGAACGGCTTCGCGAAGATGTCGGACGTAGACGCCTCCAGCCAGAACATTCTGGACCTGCAGCTCAACGGATTCCCCGTGGAAAAAAAAGACGACCTGCGGTATCTGACGGCTCTGGACGTGAACTCAACCGCAGCCGGTGGAGACTTGACTGAAAGCGGAGACTTCAGCGTCTTGGAGAGCAGCTGCGTCCCCGGAGCAGCCGAGGGTAAATGTGCGGAGGAGGAGACTCGGTCCTCGGTGTCTCTGGAAGCCGCCGAGGAAACTCATGAGGTGCAAGTTTAACGACGACGGCCGCGGTCGGCTCCATTAAAAAAAACCCGAATAGTTTCATTTTCCATCTGATCCATTAGTGTCCAACGAGGACAGAGGCAAACTATATTTCAGATACCACTCCGTCTTTGTTTTAGACTTGAGTTTGAATTTAAAATAGAGTTTATCTAATTTTAAAATGTATTATTTTCTTTT